CGTCTCTTTGATCTATTCTTATCTATCTTTACGTGGTTAGTGTTTTCCCAACAAAACCGAACTCATGTTCACCCAAACTTACAGTTAAAATCAGAGTTGCCAGATCTTCTGAAAAGTCAGAAAAGGTTCTGAAATTTGAACATTTCCCCGGTTTTCTCCTAATCGTCTGATTTTTTTGATTTATGCCAAATTCCAAACTTTTCAGGTGGTGGCTTTACTAGCGAAATTAATTGCGACTATAACTCATTATTATTATAGATTCGTGTTGCGCTACCTTCTTTCCTTTCTTAATATTTTGTAGTTTCTGAGTTCTACAGCCACTAACGAATACTTTAATATATCAGTAAACTCTTGCGTTGCTGAATTTAAGAATGAATGCTAATTATTTTTTTTAACGATTTTGTAAACATACTTTAGTTCACAAACATTTATTGAAGGGATTTTGAACAAAGAAAAACTTGAAAAAATAATATAGAATTTATGTTCTATAACCTTTATTATTTTTCGTAAGATTTTTGATCTGCGTAGTTTACATATATGATTTGTTTGCTCATATTTTTCGTAAACAGAGTTTTGGGCTTCGTAAAAGAATCCGACACTAGGTGTCTTTTGCTACCTTTTTTTGTATTAACTAACAATTGAAGGGCCATGTAACTGCGAACTCAAGAGATTGGTCATAGTCGGATCAAATGAATGCTTTTCCTCATAGACCAATTAGTTTAAAACATGAGCTGCCACTAGCGTACATAGATCGAGATGTTTACATTTCAAGATATTTACAGTTTGTCATGTGTCCACACTACGAAATTTCATCAATGCTTAGTTTCCTTTTTTTGTTATGGTTCGATGGAACACGACTATTTACATAAGGAGAAACAATATCACATATATTCAAAAGCAATTTGAGAGCAATTAGAATATGTTGTTTATTACCCTTATAATAAAAAAAAATGTTGTCCTAGACTTCGTAGAATTTGCTTTGTAATATGTGTGATATTGTTTTTTCTTATATAAATGGTCGTGCTCCATCCAACCATGACGAAAAAAGAAAACTAAGCAATGATGAAATTTCGTAGTGTGGGCACATGGCAAACTGTAAATTTCTTGAAACTCGAATATCTCGGTCCGTGTACGCTATTGGCAGCACATATTTTTAATTAGTTGGTTTGACAGTGTGAGCATTCATTTGATCCGACTATGATCAATCTCCTTAGCTTACAGTACACGATCTTTGACTCTAAGCTATATAATGTTTGTGTTGTCTTTCTTTACTATGAAATAGTTTTGGAAATAAAGTATGAGTTGATAAACAAAAAAAGTGAAGCAATTTGTGCAAGTATGTCAACATGATAGGCCTTGGTTTGCAAGAAGTTACTCTTTCTGATTAGTTTCCGCTCTCGAAGAAAAATTCTGATTTTTTTCTGATTTTGAAAACAAGAATTTCTGATTTTCAAGTTTTTCATCTGGCAACCCTAGTTAAAATACCAGAAGCGATTCTTTCCCTCTTCTTTTCTTAATTGTTCACAGAAACAAAAAGTAAAAAGTGCATGTGTGATTCAGACGGAAGAAAAATAATAGAGTTACTATCTGATTCAAAAATAAATAAACCATTTCGAAAAAATAAAATTTCAATGGGCAAAAACTTACTCATAAAAATTACAATGGGCAAATCTCCAAATGAAATGGGCAATTGCCCATTTGCCCTCCCTTGGCTACATCGCTGGGTGTGGGGTGTGGGTACTTTGTAGTTTACCAACACCCATCTAAAGCATTTCGAGTTGATTTTGAAACAATGCTGGAAGACACGAAACTTTTCACCTCCATTCTTATTGGCATAAAGATTTTACTATTGTACTGATAACATTTTTATATCTATTGTTACTAAATTCCTAGTAAAATTATGCTGAGAGTTCAATGCTCATTCTTTGATTAACTAAACATGATGTATAACATTTAAAAATAAAGAGAAAGGAAACTAATTATATAAGATGTATAGGAATCGTCAATGAATTGGGACTAATTGAAATAATAAATGAGTGTGAGACAAAGAGAGGAAAGTGATTCCGGAAGAATATTAAATAACAAATATTGATTAATCGATCTTTCAAAAGAAAAGTCGATATCGGGATTGATATCATATCTGTCTCAATCGTGTCTAGTGTGTATATCATATAAGTGCTACGTGTGGGTTATTTTGCAGGCTGATTTCTGGTTGTGATATTATTTTAATAAATTACTCACCACAATGAAATTAATACAATCAAATATATTTAAAAAATGTATCGAGCATCTGTTAATAAAACTTGTTGTTATGAATGTAACATTACTTGCTTGTTTTATGGAATATTTTCTGTTTTTACCTTTTTAGCAAGGAATCTTTATTCGTTTTATACTGTTCGTTATTTTTCTGGGCTTTTTCCCTTTTTTTTTTATTTTTCTTCAATTGCATACTCTGTTGCTAATGCGTCTAGGTAAGATGCGCACAGAGCATTGCATATAATAAAACGTGTGCACCATATGATATGCTTGGATGATTTATACAAAATCAGTTTTGCACATGAAATAAAAACAAAATGTATTTATCCGCGAAAAGGTGTCAAAAAGCAACAGCAAATAGAATAAAATGTTTTTTTTATATTCTGAAACCCATATGGGTGTCTGTTTATATTTACTTTTGATTTAATTTACGAGTAAATTAAATTATCAGCAATTTATTTTAAAATAAATATAAATAATTTTTTCTCAAAATTTATATTTAAAAATAAATATAAGCAATGATAATTTATATTTATTTTAAATATAAATTATAAGAAATTTTATTTATTATAAATTTATCTAAATTATTTGCTTATTGTCATTTTATAAATATAAATTAAATTAATTTAAATTATCATATTTCTTTTTGAGACTTTAGATAAGACATATATTGTATTTTTAACGTTGTATTTATCCATAATTCGTATATTATTCAATATTTTCATTCAAACAAGAATTCTTAATCTGCTACAAGGTCCTATTGTATAGGGTGTGGATGTGGGTGGGTGTGGGGTGTGGTGTGGGTGTGGGTGGGTGTGGGGTGTGGGTGTGGGATGTGGTGTGGGTGTGGGTGGGTGGGTGTGGGGTGGCTGTGGGTGGGTGTGTGGATGTGGGTGGGTGTGGGTGTGGGGTGTGGCTGTGGCTGGGTGGAGTGTAGGTGTGGGTGTGGGTGTGGGTGGGTATGGATGTTTGGGAGAATCGATAACCCACACCCACACCCACACCCACACCCACACCCACCCACACCCACACCCATACCCACACCCACACCCACACCCACACCCACACCCATACCCACACCCACACCCACGCCCACACCCCACACCCGCACCCACACCCACCCACACACCCACACCCACACCCAACATTCTTTTCATCAGATTCTAATTGGACCTTGGTGGGTTTCCACATCAAAAACCGTTTTTTAGGGGCTCCAAAAAGTGCTTCAGATGTTTCTTATTGTTCGGCCAATCATTTAAAAAATGTTATATTTGTAATTAGGACACGCAATTCTATCGAACTAGAAGTACCTCTACTAAAACGAGAGCAACAATTTTTTTCGAGCCGTAACAGGGACCTCAAATATGACTAAATAAGTTGGGAGAAAGTAGTAGATAAACTAGTGAAAAATAATCAGCAATGAATGCTGATTCTCAAAATAATAATGTTAGATTCACATTTGTTGATAAGCTAGCTCTACACTATGATATAACTTCTTTTGAATATAAAATAATATATTAGCAGCATAAACAAGGAAAAAATACATAGTCCAAGTGACTTTATGTAACATGAACTGACAGCACAAAATAGCTTATTCGATACAGTTTTTCATGCTGATTATGAATCCAAAGTTGAAATTTTGTTTGGTGGTAAAAAATATGAATGAATGTCCAAACACTGTAGAAAACATGAACAAAATAATATGAAAAAACAGTGTTTTCCTATTTTTGACCCTATTTTCTTAGCAAATGCTATTCTCATGAAAAGATATGTATACAGTGCGATAGAGGAGGTTCTGATCTATCAAACTGTATATACCACTAAGTTTGGAAATTCCATTTTTGATTGAACTCATAAGTCAACATTTTCTGTGTTGTCCTCATTTTTCGTGTCTTTAGTAAAAGAAAGATGTATGCTAGGATCAAATAATTATCAAGAAAATACTTTCAAAAATACATAATATAAGACACTTTTCAATCCTCTACACGAATCTGAAGTTGAAATTTTGATTTAGAAAATATTACGACCATAGTTTGCTAAGATACTGAAAAAGGCCACATTTGGAGTCGAAAAAAATGAATGAAATATGGGTATATCAATATTTCGTTGATTTCTCTCTTATTTACGATTGAATGCTTGACTTTTGGTAGCCAAAATGATCAGCTCAAAGAGCTCTATAAAATGAACCTATTGAACAATGATCTAAACATAGCACCTGTAACGGTGCTAGAAACCCCATGGAATTACTCTGATCAGATACTCGAAGAAGAAGTATGACATCTAGCTAATGCCATAAAACATAACACGGCTATGTACTTATACTTACTTTATGCCAATTCATATGCATAGATTTTTCTCCTAGATCCGTACAAAATTGTGCCTCTGCCGGACCGAAATAGGACATGAAGGAGTTCGACAAATTGCTGACGTAATTCATATTAAGGTGACTAATATGATTTCTTTACCTATCTCATACCCATCTTCTCTTCAAAACAGATGGGATGTCGGTGAGTGTGGGTGATTGAAGCAGAATAACCCATACGCCCATGCTCATATCCACACACCCATCCACATCTTTTTTTTTCAAGGCCAACATTTCTTGACATTCTAGAAGATATCCTTTGTTCTGCTTTAGTTTCGAATGACACATGCGTTAGTCAATGATTGTGCAATTACAAAGAAATGACTTTCACCTTTTATATCGACTCGAGACATCAACATTTTTTACGATCCGTTTGAAGTAAATGTCATTTATCATACATCCGACATATGCAGAACAACAGCACGAGATTGAATCAATTCTATCCAAATTATCGATTGAAACTATCGATAAAGTTCTCGAACCATTAGGTCTACGTTGTATGAAATTTGAAAGATTACAAACATCGGGTCGTATTAATTTTCTCTATAATCTACAAACCCAACTAATATTACAATCTAATGTGACATGTGACAATGAATTTATATTAAAAATATCGAATCCACATCGCTATTGGAGACATTATCGAACACAAAATGAAGTTTATACTATGCAACATTTGTATGAACACACAACTATTCCTCTCCCGAAAATATTGGCTTATTCATGCGATTCTCAGACAAGTATTTTAGAATGTGAATTTATTCTAATGGAAAAAATTCATGGCAATACACTTGAACATGTCATCGATCAAATGTCCGATGATAGTTTAATGAAAACTGCAACAGAAATGATCGACTATGTTAAACAATTGCATGAAATCAATCTGCCACAAATGAATCAGATTGGATCGTTTTGTAGTAAAACGTTACATCTGGGTGGATACGTTCTTGATGGTCCTACACTCGGTCCATTTCATACACCGAAAGAATTCATTTTGGCACATTTACAATGGTCTATTCAATCTATAGAAATTGACTCACAATTGTTTGAAATTGCCAAACATTTGCTATCACCTTTACAGGAAATTATCAAGGACATCGAAAATGACGAATATCTATCGAATATGAAGTATACATTTCATATGACTCATACTGATTTGAATACATCGAATATTATTATCGATGAAATAACCGGTAAAATTTTGGCTATTATCGATTGGGAAAGTTGTGCTATGACATTTGATGAAAGTGATATGAAATTTTATGCACATTGGTCAGATAATGAAGAACGAAAAGAAAAAATCAAATCATTATTACCATCGAATTGGACCAACGAGAGTTCGAATGATATCACTTATATCAAACCATATTTAGATGTGATGTATTCAGCTATGTGGACAACATTCTACAGTTCTACATGGTTTGAATCTGAACAACAAGTACTTGAACATATGAAATATTTTGTACAAGATACCGAAAAAGTCATTATTAAATTGAACAAAGTTTCATCATAATCGAAAAATAGTGAATAAAAAAAATGCCAATATACAAGCAATAGTATCAAGTTCTATCAATAATAATTTGTTCTAGAGATAATTTCTCGTTTAAGTGGTGTATTCAGAATTTTGATAGTTTCAGGTCGAATTTATCTTGGTAGGTTCCGACTAGACCCGTTGCAATCCAACAAAATTCTCTCTCTGTCGGATTCCAGAAAGGAAAATTTTCTTGTTTTCGATCATCGGAATCTTCATCCTGAGATGGCAAGGTTTGACCAGCCGTTGATTATGCCACTAGCCTCTGCAATGTATCTACTGTATTCGAATACAATGGGACAATAGTTCAGAATAAAGTTCTACAACTCGCTAAACTATCATCTTGTAGTTTTATTTTTGTGAAACATGATTGTAAATTAATGTTGAAATTCAAAGCGAAAAACTTGGATCCTCTCCCTCTCCTACCCCGTTTATCGCAGATATCCTATCTTCGATTTTTTTTGATCATGAAATTATGTATTTAAACAATTATTGATTTCAATAGAGTGGCTGCATCATGTTTCATATTTTAATCCCGCTACGCATTATTCTTGTTCAGAAAGAAAGCATTAATAATTTATTCTTACACACAGAACTGTTATGACACCTCATAATCGATAAGAACAGCAAAAAGAAAAGAAAGTTTTTAAACTGCATGTCATGTAGACTAACAACATTTCGTATGCAGCATTTAGTCTAAATTATGTCCTTCTCGTCATACAAGCATGAATAAACAGATATTGTGAACAACTAACGAAACAATGGTTCTAGACAGTGCAGCAAGTAAATGCATTCGTGATTTTGTATTGAATTTCTTTTAGACTGTACTTTTCTCTTCTTTAACACCCGATGAGCGTATCCGTCATGTACGAGTAGATAAAATTAGTGATATCAAGGCATTAAAAACATTGCCCAAAGTCTGCATTTCAGTTATGGAGGGTGTATTTGTGTTAATTGAGCCATCGAAGAAGACATTTATATGGAAAGAAGTACTCATGAAAAACGCAGGTAACGCACAGACGTTTTTTCAAATTCAGAAACGTATATCTCGACAACTAATGGAGCTAGAGCGATGAAACTTTTAGCAAACATATATTCGACGGAGTTCTACTTGCCGTAAAAATCTCAAGTTTCTATATCTTTGTGCAATCGAGTTTTATACAAAAAATATTGGTCGGTAACGCACAGACAAAAAAGTTCCTCTTTTTCTGGGTGTATATAAGAGAAATGAAAACACGACGAGATACTCTAAGTTAATCAATTAAATGAGAAATGGTTTTGTAGCTAACACTTCAGGCTATCTATTGATTAAAAGAAAACGTTGACACATTGGCATATGAGCGAATTATAGACAAACCATCAAGTAACGCACAGACACTTTTCTTCAAGAGACAAAGTTGTGGTCGGATATATTGATTTGGAATATCAAGATAATGATGTCGATTCGTATTTCGAACTGCCCCAGTGTTGTTATGTTAGAAATGTTTTCAGGTTTGTTTAAACCAAACGAGTGCTCGAAATGTCTAAGCAGAAAAAAGAGCTCTTTTAAGTCATTTTTATAGGGTAACTGTAGATTTTGGCTGGCAACTATGATTTTTTATCTTGGTCTTAAACGGAAAATGATGTAGATCGACGCAGAATATATGAAAACCTACAGAAAAATTTGGAATGAGTAGGATCAGTTGTTTTGCATCGGAGAATTTGGATTGTCAACTTTAACCACGCCGGTTGACCGTTAGCCGTTTTTGCTGTACTAATGTCCTTTTGTAACGTGCTCTCGTTGACTATTCAAAGCAACGTCGACAACTCATACAGATGCTACAAGCACACATTACGAGTGATACTTCACATTAACTATGGTTACGATCGATTTTTCACATGAACAGGCTTGCCGATTAGGGGGGGATGGGGGGGATTTCCCCCCGCTAAATTCGGATCCTTTCTGCCAATCTTTTTCTGCTGTATTTCTACGTTTTTCTGCTGAAAAATACTTTTTCTCGCTTTCGTACAACCTATATATAAACAAAATTTAAGAAGATGAATTTCTCAAAATCTCCTCTCCACGATGCATGCATACTTATTGATTAGTGGTAGCAATGCGAACAGTTGAGTCATATTATCCCTCTTTCTGGCAAAAATAGATAGATACCATCAAGAATATATTTTCTGCAAAATTCCCGCAGAAAATCAACTTGAGAGTACTTTTCTTTGGCAGAAAGCTCATATGTACTCTTTGCCTAAAATTTTTGGTGAATTTCGGTATGCTTTACTGCTCATTGTCGGGTTGTGATTAGAGGTGTTAGCCGCCGATTTTTCGCCGCCGCCGCCGATAAAATTTTCATTCGCTGCCGCCGAATAGCCCGTCTCGGCGGAGACTTTTTCGCCGCCGCCGCCGCTAATCGAGTGAAAGGTCACAGTTCAAGTTTCCTCTCTTTCTAAATTATTACTTGTTGATAATAATCAGTAACATCTCAAGTTTGATCTGTGTGACAATTAGAGATTGCTGAAACCAATAGAACTTTTAAAAAATAGAAATTAGTGTATTTTTTCTTGGATGACCTAAGGTCTGAAAACTGAGCTGATAAGCAAATATGTCTCCTTGTGATTTTATGACGCTACCATATTTATTAGGTTCTCATTTGCCTTGTTTCGTCGTGCACAATAGATTCATTGCTATTATCTTCTCCGTTTTGCGATTTTTGACTTATTCAGTATGCAGCTTTGACAAACTGTCTAGTTTGAGTTCGAATAGAAATGTAACTAACATTGCCCTTCGAATTTAAATTCCAATCGACACTCTTCTGCCAGTTTAGAAAAAAGAAAAATATTTAGTTTGAATTTGAATTCGAATAATCAATAAAAACAAATCTTGCTCCTTTCCTCAACTCACAGAAAAGTATTGATTTGAATTTGGATTCAAATTCTAATTTCAATATTAGTTTCACTTATGATTCAACTCAAGCTACCATGGGGGTGGCGCATTATCTTTATTTTACTTCGAATAAGTAAAGTAAAGTAGAGTAAACTAAAATACTATAGTTTGAATGTTGAAAATAAAGTGAGATAAAGTAAACCAAACAATATTTTTCATGCATCCATTAAAAAATCGATATTCTTCGGTTTTACTAATTTTTTTTGCGCTAATTTTAAGATATGAAACAATATTGAATAAACTTTGATATGTTCTAAGACTATTTATACATGATCCTGAACTAAGAAATTGCCAAAAGATTTAAAACATACAACTTCATTTTTTTCACTTTACTTTACTTTTTGGATAACATTTATTCACTTTACAGGATAAAGTAAAGTATTTAACTTTATTTGGTAAAGTAAAGATACAGCGCCAGCCCTAAGCTATCATGTTTGAATTTAATTTGTATTTCAGATGGATAGTCACATTATTGCCATTTTGGCTTATATTATGAGTTACTGTTGCGTGGTTTGAAATTATTTTATGATGGGATAGTGTGAATTTTTTGAATTAATGAAAATAAAGTTACATCTATTGGGAAAATTTTTGCATAAAAAGATATGAGCGTGCTAAGAGGAAAACAGTGTTATAATTCTGTGAGAACAGCACGTCTAATGTTTGTCTTAACGGTAGGGACCTACGAAAGACCCTGTGAAACACCATAGGAAAAATTTTGTTGTCGCCGTCGCCGCCTAAAAGGACCTCTTCGGCGAGAGCTCCCCGCCGCCGCCGCCGATGCCTTAAAACTTTTTCGCCGCCGCCGCTGATCAAATGATCGGCTAACACCTCTAGTTGTGATTCCATCTGTGTCCAATATACGACGTGTAAATGTGAATTG